TACTGAAGGACACACTGACAAACCTTCACGCCGCGGGGGAGAAGAACCCGTTCTACCAGCCCTGTCACACCCACGTCCTGAACCCAAAGTCTATCACCATGGAGGAGTTATACGGGGGGATCAATAAACTGACCCTGGAGTGGTCCGACGGACTCATGGCCATGACAGTCAGGGCATGTGTACAGGTAAATAGAGGAGAGGATCTAAGGTTCAGTTTTAACTGGGAGTTGGGGTTAGGGGTGTGTTGTGAGTAAATTGGGTCTAGTATGTCAAATTACTGTGTACATGGAAGTCTAAATTTATCTGACAGTGCATGGACAAAATATATTTCAAGTTTAGGCAAAGTGCCTTAAATACATGCCTGTTAACGGACAAAAAGTAGAATTCAAAGAATGCAAAAAATTACATTTATTTTGCTTTTGTTGGAATGATCTAAGATTTTTTTTAAAGATTGAAAATGAAAAGAAAAAATTTGCTAATGATAACTTTAAACATTCTGTTAGTAAAACTACACCTCTGTGCCTGTTCTATTAATAGGACACGTCTATGGACCACCATTGGGTGGTGTGTGACGGCCCGGTGGATGCGCTATGGATTGAAAACATGAACACCGTCCTGGACGACAATAAGATGTTGTGTCTAGCTAACAGTGAGAGGATCAAGTTCACTCCCTACATACACATGTTGTTTGAGGTCCAGGATCTTGCAGTCGCCTCCCCTGCCACTGTCAGCAGGTAAAAAGAATTTCTTTTAAAACTATGATCAAAAGTTTCGTGTCAAATCTTTTCCCTAAAGTTTGTGTGAAATAATTTGTTTCTCTAAAATATTTTTCTTAACCTCTCTCTCTCTCTGTCTGTCTTGATCTTTTTTATCATTGTGTTTAAAAAACTTTGACTTTGAGTGCATTGTTAAAAAAAATTACAGACCCCCCTCCCCCATTCCAACTGCACACAACCATTGCACATAATTATTTTCCTACAAAGAAACGACAGATATCTGGTTGCTAGAAGCAAATTCTTAACTCCCCCTTTTCCTATATTTTGATCCAATACCCTTTCTTCAAAAACAATCTAACTTTTAACATGTATATATCTGCAAATAATGAGTAAGGCTCTCAAAAAATGTGTGATATAATTTTCACTCTACCCTGTAGATGTGGTATGGTGTTTGTGGACCCCGAGGAACTGAAGTGGCTGCCCTTCACCCAGACCTGGATAAACGGATACGCCGACAAAGTAAAGGAAGAAATCCGCGAGTACATTCTGGATCTGTTTGTCAGATATGTGGACGACGGATTGGCATTCGTCCGCAAGAAGTGTCAACAAAGCATCAACCAGGTAACATGAAATAGCTTCATGAATATGGGGGTTGTCTGTAAGAATTGAAATAGAAGGAGACAATAAAAAGGTACAGGGGTCTTTTTGTTCCTCACCTATTGGAGAATTAAGGGAGAATATTTATAACCTGTCTCTTGTACATTGTAAAAATAGTGCTGAAAAGGAGACAAGTCATTGAATCATATTGCAGCAATTCAGTGCATGTTATGACAAACAAGAAAAAAAGCATAAATACTAAACTATACTTTTGAGGACCCACTTAAGCTTTAAATATTTTTTTTGAGTGTGTGTATGTGCTTGGATAAAAAATTCTAAAAATGTTTAATTATATTATCAAATCTCTATTTTATAGTTTGACATCAGCAAGGTGATCTCCCTTTGCCGCCTCCTGGAGTCCCTGCTGTTCCGTCGTGGCGGTCCGGATTTGAACCAGGATCCTAACAAACTTAACCCACTGCTGTGTACGACGTTTGTCTTCTGTTATCTGTGGTGTATCGGAGGAAACATCACAGAGAACTACTGGGACGCCTTCGATACTTTTGTCAGACAACAGTTCGAGGAAAATGGAGATGCCAAGGTGTGTTTTAATACTGTAACATATTTGGTATCAAAAATATTAAGTAGTTTCATTTAAGTAAATAGAAAGGAAGAAAATAAAACTTACTATAGTTCATCTATGTGCAAAACAAGTGTCTGTTTTAAGATTTAAATTCATAATTAGTCAACAATATTTGAATGGACCCTTAGCATAAATGTTTAATGACAAGAAAAATGGAATTGCAGATACTAAAAATTTTTTGGTCTCAAAATAACTATTCCTTAATTTTCAATGAATCTTGATAAATTAAAATGTGTGTTTTTTTGAAATTCATAAAAGCACAACTGATTGATTCTTCTTTGATTGTTCTATTTATAGCTGCCCAATGCCGGTGACCTGTGGAGCTGTTACATGGACTTTGAGACTCGCCGCATGGACTTATGGGAGAAGATCGTCCCTCCCTTTAAATATGACAAAGAAGTGCCGTTCTTTGAGATGTTGGTGCCGACCATTGACACAGTCAGATTCGGCTACCTACTGGAGAAATTCCTGTCAGTCAAACACTCCGTCTTATACACTGGAGGTACTGGTGTAGGAAAGGTAATTAAAATTTTATGTTATCTGATTATTGTATTGAGTTGACATGAATTTTTGTGTTCTGCTTTTGGGAATAAAAATTACAGTCAGGTGTCTTTCAAAAACTGGAGTTTTTAAAATTACCAACCATTTTTTCATTATTATTTCCGACATAATTTTGTTTTCATTTCGGAATTTTTACGTTTGTTGGGCATAAAATTTTCACACAACCAAATGGAAATGACAAACACTTATGTTCATTATTATTTGATAATGGACACTAGTTTTCATAAATAAAGTATATGTTATAGCTTTTTGAAATGAAAACAAAAAACATTGGAATTGATTAGAAATGGCCCTTATCAAGTAATACAAAATTTGAAGTTGAGTTTCCATAACTTGGTGATTTCACCAATGGTGAAAAATTCTTCAATTGATAATCAATCAATCATTATGATCTCTCATCAGTTTCAAATTTAAATTAGAGGAAGATTTCTAAGCGATTTAATTTGGTTGTGAAAACGCTTGGTATTATTAAAGGTCAAAGACCATGTTTAGAAACCAAGTTTTTGGTAATGCAAAGAGCATTTTTCTTGTTTTTACCTGCAAAGTTGAAAAATTGAAATTTGTTACATGAAATATGTCACAGACAAATTTTGCGAAAAATACTGAGAGACAATGTTATGGGTAAACAGGTCTGGACTAGGATATATAGCTTTCAAAACATTGCAATTGATTAGAAAGGAATCATAATACATTTTTTTGGGGGAGGGGGCTTGATTTGTAAATTTGTTTCTTTTTTTAAGTGATAAAAATTTTTTGTTTTCTAAGCACTTAGTTTTGTTAACCAAAGAACAGCAAATAATTGGTGCTCAGTTTAAAATACGAAAATAGTGTACATTTCTAGCAGTTTATCAAAATCAAGCTTTTATTCTATAGTCTGTGATCGCCAGAGGACTTCTGAATGGCATCGCTGAGAAAGCAAACTACGTCCCACAGTTCATCAACTTTTCCGCTCAGACAAGCAGCAAGAGAACCCAGGAGATGATTGAAGGAAAACTCGAGAAAAGGAGAAAGAACGTTATTGGTGCCCCAGTGGGCAAACGTGTGATCATCTTTGTGGATGATTTGAACATGCCTAAACTTGACACGTATGGCTCCCAGCCCCCTATTGAGTTATTGAGACAGTACCAGGACTTCGGGGGAATGTATGACAGAGAGAAGCTATTCTGGAAGGAGATTCAGGACGTGACTTTATCTGCTGCGTGTGCGCCCCCTGGTGGAGGAAGGAATCCTGTCTCTCCCCGATTTTTCCGTCACTTTGCCATGTTATCTATCCCCCCGCCGACTGAACACAGTCTCAAACACATGTTTATGGTGAGTTTGTGTAGTTAAATTGAAGCTTAGATTCAAAATTGTATGTTTTGTCAACAAAAATATATTTATTGTAGTAAGATTGTCAACAATTTATTGAAGAAGTTAGAAGACATTTTAAAAGTTAAAAGTTTTCTTTGTAATCCTTGTTAAAATGAAGCTTGAAATCAAATTTTCAGTGGTACACCAGAATGTAAAATATAGTTTATATATTAATGCTTTTTTCTTCTAGGTCAACAAAATCAATTTACACTTAAATGATCATGTGTCTTAATTACAGCAAATCCTGGCTGGATTTCTAATGGATTTCCCTACATCTGTCCGTCAGTCGACTGAGTCGATTGTTCAGGCTGCCGTGGAGATTTACGGCAGAATGTCGACGGATCTCCTCCCCACCCCGGCTAAATCTCACTACGTCTTCAACCTCAGAGATCTCTCTAAATGTGTCCAAGGTAAAAGAAATAAAACATTAATAAAAAAATTTAAAATTTTCTGAAGTTAAAAATTTTATAAGAATTCTACAGAAATTGGTACAGAAACTTTTTCAAGAAATCAAAGATTGATACAAGTAGAGGACATGTACATTGTTTAAAAATATTTTAATCAAATATCCAGATATTTGCCAAAAAATTATATGAACAAAAAACCATGTAAAAAATACAATTTTGGCCGGTGCACATAGGTAAAATTAAATCAAGATTTCAATCAAGATGTACATGTATTTTATGTCATAAAATACATAATTTGCTTTGATGAATATATTTTAAATCATGAAATATTTTTGCCCCTTTCTCAGGTCTGCTGCAGGCAGACACAGGAGTTATTCGAGACAATAAACAGATTTTCCGACTCTTCTGTCATGAGGCCATGAGAGTTTTCCACGATCGTCTCATCAACAATGAAGACAAGCAATACTTCCACACCATGCTTTCTGAGATGGCTAGCAAACACTTTGGAGAGGTACAATTTTGTCTTGTTCATGAATATTTTTTTGTAGGAATGGAGGAGTTAGGGTGTCCAGTGCAGCACTATTGAAGGGGGTAGTCTGGCCCTGTAAATATTGAAAATATTTTGACCAATATCAGTAAAGAAAAAAATCCTTTCATGTGAAAAAGTCAGGAAATTTCAAATTAGACCTTATAAGGCTGTTCAAAGTTAATTCTACGTTTAACGTCACATCTAAAGTGAATTCAAAACGTACGAGGGAGGGAGGAAAAAATTAACAAACAAAATTTCAAACAATTTATTCAAATTAACCTATTCAGTTTATTAAAAACACTACAATATTGAGATATATAAAGAGATCTCATCTAAAATTTCCCTAAGGTAAAAAAAAACATTAATAAAAAAATTTAAAATTTACTGAAGTGAAAATTTTATAAGAATTCTACAGAAATTGGTACAGAAACTTTTTCAAGAAATCAAAGATTGATACAAGTAGAGGACATGTACATTGTTTAAAAATATTTTAATCAAAAATCCAGATATTTGCAAAGAAATTTCAACAAAAAACCATGAAAAAATTCAATTTTGACCATTTCATTGTGCAATATAATTGGTAAAATTAAATCAAGAATTTCAATCAAGACCATGTATTTTAGCTGTCATAAAATACATAATTTGGCATTTGATGAATATATTTTAATTATCATGAAATATTTTGCCCCTTTCTCAGGTCTGCTGCAGGCAACACAGGAGTTATCACACAAAATATTTTTGACACACTTTGCACAAGGCCATGAGAGTACGATTTCAGCAAACACGAACTGAAAGTCTTCACTGTCACACCATGCTTTCTGAGATGGCTAGCAAACACTTTGGAGAGGTACAATTTTGTCTTGTTCATCCAGGAATATTTTTTTTTGCAGCAATGGAAGGGTTAGGGTGTCCAGTGCAGTACTATTGAAGGGGGGTAGTCTGGCCCTGTAAATATTGAAAATATATTGACCAATATCAGCTAATAAAAAAATCCTTTCATGTGAAAAAGTCAGGAAATTTCAAATCAGGCCTTATTAGCTAGTAACAAAGTTCCTATTGCATTTAACATATACAGTATACTGTAAAAGCAGAATTTTTAGCAAGGATTTAATTTTGGCATTAATAGCAAAGGTACCAAAATCACTGAAATTGAATATTGCTAAAATTGATTGTGTTTTATTCGTAAAAACTTTTTAAGTTAACTTTTGAAAATTGCCAAAATTACATCTCTAGCTAAAAATAAAATACATGTACCAAGTTTTAAGGACAAATTGCTTAATTTTCGTCTCGCTATTTATACAGCATTTTTTATTAAAAAGAAATTGATACTTCAGATGATATGGTTATAAATTATGCATTTTTTAGAATGTGGAGCCTGATAGTTTTACTACACATCCTATTATATTTGGAGACTTCATTAAGATTGGCGCTGAGAAGGCCGACAGAATTTATGAAGAACTCAGTGATCTGAAAAAACTGACTAATGTCCTACAAGATGTAAGTCGCAGTGTGTAGTATTTCTTAAACAGATTCATAGCATAAAAATTCCAGTTATATGTAAAGAAATTTTGTTTAACAACTGATTTTAATAATTTAATTCTTTTGTGTTATTTGTTTCTTCATAAGAAGCATTTATTATATTTATTGTTATATTTTGTTGTAGTATCTAGACGACTACAATATGAACTCCTCTAAGGAGATGAAGCTGGTATTTTTTATGGACGCCATTGAGCATGTGTCCCGTATCGCTCGTATGATTCGTCAGGATCGTGGTAACGCCCTCCTGGTCGGAGTGGGCGGTACTGGGAAACAATCGCTGACCAGGTAATTAATAGAGTAATTAATAAGCATTTAATTTGACCAGGTAATAAATGCAGATCAATGAGCCATCTCTAAAAAAAAGTGTTTGGTTGCCCTCTCCAAACCGACTGGATAAAAATGGCACCACTCTTAACTATTAATTAAAAAAGCATTTTTTTTATACATTCTGGAAAATATATTTGAAATTTAACATTGAAATTCAAATTTTCTGAGAAAAATTTTTTCCTTACCTACATATCGACATGAATTTTTTTTACCCTGAGTTGGGAGAG